ATCCGGAATAAAATGTCACGAATACACTTCTTCCCGAACCTCTATTTACACGTGTCAGTGTGGCGTGTCCCGTTTAGTTCCGTGTGAATTTTCGACAGTTTAAACGATCAAATATATCGTCACGTTGTTTTCAGATGTACGTGTTTAGACGTATCAGTGACATCCTCCGTTTTACAATATCGATACTTTATTCGAGCCGTGAAATTGAAATTCGTCGACAACCATATTTTCATTCGTGTATTTTGTAACAGAGTTTTCGATATTTTCAAGGTTTATGTACCTCTCTTGTTGGATTTGTAATGACGAAAGACTGATTTGATTAGTATTAGGTTGGTGCATATGAAACGTCGCTTCTTTTTTTTTTAACGAAACTTTGGATACAATATGTGTCTTCAAAAAATAAAATCATTTCCACGCGATTTTATACACTTTTTTTTTTAACGATTAACTAGTTACATTATTCCAAATATGTAAGAATAATTAGTCTTTGAATGCTTCTTTTACAGTGTCTTCGTTTGGGAATAATTTATTTGTTAACCCTTTCGCTGCGGCAGATTTTCGTCGGACAGAATTTAACTCACCAATTTCAGCTGCTGAAAAAATGTCATTTGCACCAAGCTGATACTTTACCATTTGTCGGTTCCAGAATATAGGGAGTTTAACAAATTGTTTTTCTCCTTTGCTCAGCAAATACGTGCAAAGTTCATCGAGACACTTAAAATTTTCAAAAAATATTGTCTCATTGCCCTCTGCTTACACAGTTCTCTGTAGAAAGTGCCATTTTCGCTGCTTAAGAATTCTTCTGGTTCATTCTCGCCTGGAATTATGGCAATTATTGTCAGATCGTCGTAAAAAAAAAAAAAAATAATAAACCAACATAAAAGAAAGAATTTTCTGAGTGGAAGTTGAACAGGTATTACGCGTAATACAGTCACGCCAGTGACACATGTAAACAGACCTTAAAGGATTGGAATCATCTACCTTAGTTTTGTCCTACATGGTGCAATCTTTAAATCATTCGGTTTATGCGTGTTTTCATTTGGCTAAGTATTCTAGTAATAATCGAATAATAAATGTACCCATATCATAGTAGTAACGGTAAATAACAAACGTGTGATAAATTTTACAACATATTTTTCCTTTCGTAAAAGCTGTAAAATCAACAGATTACTTGTAAAATTTCATTAAAGATTTCCCTAGTATAGAATTAAAAATAAAATGTCAAAATTAGGCAGCTACTTTACTTGCAAAGTTACTATCAGTGGATAAAATTATAAAACGAAACGTTTACGAATTTCCTCGGTAGAAACGCATGATTCAAGATCTTCCAAGTAGACAACATTCTGTTTGCTGTCATTGGTGCTACATGGTGAAACTGGAAATAATATTCGAGGAAAATTCGTTTACAGAAACTACTACAACGGACTAAAAGAGCTATTGCGTTGATATTCTCTTTGTGCAAAAATATACGAATTAAGAAGGTTATACTGTTTCGTGTCTAAAAGATACTTTTAAATATAGATTTTACCGAAATTGTATACCTTAATTAAATTCCCGGCAGTGTTCGTTCTAGATCGTTAAGTCTACTTTAAGTACCGTTAAAGCTAAAAATATTGTCGTCGACATGTAGCCATTGCGGGAGAAACGTAAGTCCTCCAGAATCGGATGCGTAATTGAACTGAAACGACGAAGCTCTCTGCACGAAGACATCGTCGTCGATGATTCGGGGCTACGCAACATCATATCGTCGCGCTTTTCCGCTTTTCGCATGCGGCAACTCGCAAACGCCCATTAAATCGCATCGAATCACACTTACAAATGCGTTAAGTTGCACGGTTACGTATGTATGAATAGCGTTTGTGTTAGTGCATGCACGTTTTGTCAATCGAACAGCTAATGACGAAACTCCAGAGCGCATATTCCAACACAACTACGAGTCGATATATGTATACATACAAACATATATAAACAAGATGTGGCCGAATGTATTGTACAAAAGGGGTAGGAGATGATTCCTCGTGCAAAAATGAATAAAAAATGTGGAATAACATTTTCTCATTCGAGGCTTAGCTCGTGAGAAAATCAGGTTTGAAAATACGTGCGAACGTGTTTGTATACAATGTATGCGCGACTTTTACGAGTTACTAGGTTCAAAAAAGCACGAAGACACAATTTCATCGACAATATTTTATTATATTTACTAAGGTAGGGTTGTCCAACTGGTGGCTCACGAGCCACGTGTGGCTCCTCCTCCTCGTCTCCCACTCCGCAGGGCCGTAGGAGAACGGCCCCCTCCATAGGGCCCCCCACCATCAGCAGTCTAGTCCCCACTATATATAAGTCCCTTGTTTGTAGCTGACACTAGCAGAGACATAATTACTCTTTGCAGGCATTTTGGAAATTTTCCTGCACGAGTATGCCCATGCATGGTCTTCACACCAAATGTCTATCTTCAATACAACTAAAGTCTCTTATATTTTTCAGAGCATAGGGAGGACTTACTCCAGATGACTCTCCAATAATTCTCAGGTTGAAGCAATAAAAAGAAAAAGAAAATAACACTACCAGAGCCGTAGGTGTGTAATGGGACCCGTGCAACCCCCGGAAGTTCGACGCCCCTGCATTACACACCCAACGTATCTTTAAACCCGATTTTCTCAAAAACCAAGCCTCGTATGAAAAAATTTTATTCCACATTTGTTGTTTATTTTTACACGAGAAAGCACCTCCAGACCGTTTGTACAATACTTTCGACAATACCCTGTATATATATATACACATACATGTTTCGTATGTACGATGTATAGTTATGTTTTCGTTTATTCTTTCATGCGTACGTATATGTTATTATATGTACCGAAATACAGTTGTGCTTTGCTCATTCGACTAGAACTATCATCACGTCGTCATATCGTGAACGACCGATGAGGAAACAGCATCGATAACGGGTGGTTCGTATGACGAGCAATGAGATCGGTTTCCGGATGAAAAATACAGAAAAATCGTTTGAAAATAACAACCTTCTTTTATGGAACTGTGTGGAGTTACGTACTTTGTCATCTACTTTGCATATCATCAGGACAATTACATTCTTTTTTCTGCATAACGAAATGAACGAGACATTGTTCTAGCTTTACAAACGGGGCATCCTTCGTTAATCTCTTCGGTACATACGTCGACTTTAGTTCACAAGCTTTATCTCGTGCCATTTCTGAGAAACCTTCAACTGCGAATGTATTATGTTAAGTTGGAAGGCTTACTTCGTTTAAAGAAAGACACATACCGTCTTTACATAACAACAACAAGATTAAGAGGAACAATATGTTGCTAACGTAGTATTGTATGTAGAACGAGACAAAAGATAAAGCAACGTATGATTTTAAAATATGTAATGCTGGTTCCATTGTGCAGTTCCATCTTATTGAAATTGTTCGCACAAAACTACGTTCTTTAAATTTAGTCTTTCATTTCTTTATGTCGAGATTAATAGGGTAACATTATATTTTTGTATAAACGTTTTCAATTATTAAGAAGAAATAGAAAAATGTATACAAATCTATAAAAGATGTCCATAATTTCCACGTGACTCTTGCACCTTCTTATTTTGGGCCCTTGGACAATACTGAATAGTGGGTATAGTTGGTGAAAGCGATGCGGTGCCCCTTAACGCTCACATTTTTTTTAACTTAATGTACCAAAATGATCAATTTCCTGTTTGTCTTTAATATTTTTCTAGGCGTATAAAAATAAGTTTCCTATTATTTATAATGCTGTAACTTACATTTTTGCTATAATAAAACGGATAACGTAATATGGAAAGCGAAAGAAGCTGCACTTATTGGCGGATTAGTTGTGCATTTCAAGGGGTTAAGCGGCGATACCGATTGATGTAGCAGCAGCACTCAGGGCCGTACATTATTTGTGAATTGATATCTAAAATTTCTGCTTACAATTTTCCATTTAGAATATACGGTATCACCTTCTACCCAATAGCAATTCCCGCCATTCTGTCAACGATTAAAGCGTAGACAAATGTTTTAAATACACTGCAATGAAAGAAGCAATTCCAAGTTGACATTGAACGAGCCTGAGCGAGACTCGAGTTCCTTATCTCCCCCGAATTGCTGTTTCGACGCCCGACTGTCTTCACGGCCTTACTACGTCGCTTCCACCGACTATACCCGCTGTACCGAAGAGGTTAACTAATGTGAATGGTGACGATGAAACGCAAGAACGGGAATGACGAGTTTTATAATAGGAGGATCTCTAGAACACCGGCAAATTTTTCTCGACTGTTCATGAAATCAACGGTATTTACATAAGTAGTTAGCTAGCTAAAAGGAAGAAATTCGAAATACTCCGCCTGTTGTTTTCTCGGCACGAATCTACGTTCGTATGGAACTAATGAAATTACTCGAATCGTCTCTGGCTTCTAGTAAGTCTCAACCACATCGACGTCGAGGTGTACACGTTTAATTACAAAACTCGTTTTGGCGGAACATTTAAAAGTGCAGTGCGCCATACAAAACAACACAATCTCCGAATATTCCTCGGTACCTCCGACGGTGTCGCGGCAATATTGGCTAAGAATCACTGGCATAAACTCTCGTTCACAACGAAATTCATTTAGTCGATACAAAAAAGTTCGTTTTCATTTTGAAACGGGATTACACAGTTCACACATCACCGGAAAGGGGACGAAAAATCTTTTTTCTCAAACGCAAAGATATCACGCGCCACAAAATCATCGTCATTCACAAAAGCCTAAGGATTCCATCATACTCACTGCAAGTATACTTACACAACAAAAAAATAATATTCTCTTTCTCTCTCTGTATACGTCTACGTTTAGTATGAAAATAATTTCAAGCGCGACTTATCTTATCGCACTCGTCCATCATCCAGCTGGAGCTAGTGTACCAAAAATTGGTAGTCGTCTCCGCTCTGGTCACCGTCCAATAAACACTAGAACTGGAAGCCCCGTTCCCGCGACGTGAGAATCACCTTCTGATGGCTGGAAGTAGCAGTGACAGCAGACTCACCAAAAGATGCAGAACGAGTTGAGCCCGATGGGAAACGCCGAAATTTAAAGCATTCGCTGGAAGCTCGCCCGGTGGCCTTATCGATGGTGGACCGTACTCTCTATCGTAATCTGTAAGCAAACAAACCTGCTTGTGCACCAATCGTTTTGGCGATCAAAATTATTTTTTTTTTTTTCAGTTTTTACCGACAACAGATTCAGATTAATAACGTGGAGTATAGCATGCACATTGTTTGCACTTTGCGATTGAGTTATTGGGTATTTCCTTGTTTATGCTTATCTTACTTGGGCTATGTTTAGTTTCAATAGGAAACTCAAGATTTTGCTCGTAAACAGTTGAGATAGGAGAAATAAATATGGAAATTTAATTGGGAAGGTGGATGTATGTGTTGCAACGCGTTTCTTCGAATGGCAAAATATTTGACAGTGCACATAATATGTTGTTTTAAGCATAAAAAGTATAATAACAATAAGCTGTATATTAATATTTGCAAATCCCCTCACTTTTTTCTTTGACTTTTTTCTATAAATTAACTAATCTTTATCTTATCAACTGTGCTCTTAATACAATATTTACGTAGAATACTTTAAATTTCTGAATTGAAATTTCTTGATACAAAAATATTAAAAATCTACATAATAACGAATATTTAACCTGTCATTTTGTAAATATCCAAATTATCTTGTAATATTTAATATCTTCAAATATTACATATTATCTTGTAATATCTGTCTTTTTTCTCACAGATTTTGCATATTTTTCTGTCAAAGAATTATTCACGTGGGATCGGGGACTCCATACCCAGCAAAAGAAGCAATAACAGCGAGGAAATCAGAGGACGCGTTGGCGTAGTGCGTTGCAGTGTTGCTAACTGGGAAACTCGTGGGTTCGATTCTCGTTTGAGTCCCTCAAATTTTTCCTAGATAGATTCCTATGTAAATATTTCCCAAAGTAAACTTCAACCCACGCCACATGGTAATTTCAAGTTCCTCGAAAAGCACTTAACGATGCGAATTTACTTAACGAAATGTTATTTACCAAATTTAATACCTAGCAATAATATTCAATAACACGACTTTCGAAGTGTGTGTTGATTCACGAACACGATATTCCTCTTATCGTGCTATTACGAATCGTGTGTCATTTTGAACGTGACAATTTCCTGCAATCTCGTCGTAATCATGGGCACATTTGTGGCCTCTATGTTCTACGACATTGTTCTTTGTAGAATTAAAGTTCTGTGAAATCCCAAATAACAGAAGAGAAAACGCGAGAGGGGGGACAGCCGAATGCATACGAAAATGAGAAATATGTTGCTCGAATAATAAAGCGTTCAAATAATGCACCGGGTGTATAATCAAACGTTTGGGTATGGTGATCGCGTGAACAATGCTGATAGCGTTCTGAAAGGATTTCTGCCGGACAATGCGCAACGGTGATTCGAACTTCATAGGAAATGAACGTGTGAAACCAATTCGTACCGCCGTGAGTCCGAATTTCAATGGGCAAAGGAGAACGAGCTCACGAAATGCTCTCTTAGGAAATGGTAAATACGTATACACGAAGGAAGAAAAGGAGTGTGGAACGTTCGTAAAGAGAAAATAAGAAATGCCACTTTTCACTTGTTTCATTGATAGGATGGTTACAAAAGAATTGAAAATTCTGTTGAAACGTGAATATAGGGCAGAGATCTTTACATTGAAAAATTCACTATTAAAAATTTATTCACCCACCGAAATGAAATAATCTTGCCGTTGCTTGTTTCCTCTTTGCAACGTGTTCCTTCAGTGCAATGTTGCTAGATCATCCTGAAGGTTCATTTTGAGGAAAGAAACGTGACTTCGCTAAAATTAGACATATTTATTTAAAATAATTTTCATAATGATTGATACACTTTTACCAACGTATTACAATTTTTATATACGCGAAATCAGTGCTCTTGCAACACGCTGACGAAGTGTATCGAAAATTATGTAAATTATTTTAAATAAACATGTCTAATTTCAGCGGAGTTACATTCTTTTCGAAACGAAAGGCTTAAAACCGCTGGAACTTTCAGGATGACATAATTTTTG